AGAGTAAATGTAACACCCCGAAAAAAATTTCAACTCAAATCAGACCATAATTATGTTTTCCTCACACTGGTCCCATTGAAGTCATCTATAGCCCGTAGAAATATCTAAGGACCAAAAGTGAGTTCGTAGAACCATGCTCTGAAAAATTATTCTCTGATCCAAGTTTCACGAATCAGACTATACGGCTCATAAAACCTTCTACCATCCGTAGAAGGTCTTGTGGAACAAAGTCCTGATCACCCCTCCCAGTAAGCTTCCTACGATAGAGTCGGATGGTCCGTCAAAGTTTCTATGGGCCCTATAAAGGGTTCATAGATCCCAACTTATTAAATACAGAAACTCAATTTGTTTTCTACGAGAGGGTCTACGGTTTGTAGACATTTGTACAGATCGTAGATGACCTTTGGTAGACAACTTCTGTCAGTTTTAAGAAGGGTTATTTTAGTATTTTCCCACCCTTTCTAAAACCTAAATTCTGACATTTTTACACCTAATAGAGTTCATAATAATCCTCTAGCACAAAGTTGAGTCGAAAGCTTCCTTACCGATTGAGTTTTGATATAAGATTCTACTTAAGTCAACTGCAAGTGAGTATATATCTCAGCACATAATGAATTTGATGGCCCGTGACATATCAAATTAAAGGTCTACGAGTCATCTTTTTAATGCCATCAAGTTTACCTCATTTAGAGTTTGTAATAAAACGTTATACCCATTTTTGTGAAGCATTGTTAGGTAGTTGATGTTCTACGACCAGAACTACAGACAGTGGAATGTTCCATGAATCTTAGAGCCTTCGGTTAAGTCTTTCTACAAATTTTTTCAAAACATTTCTGCACATGTTGTAGGATTATTTTGGTCCTTTTCCATGCTTTTTAGACCTATTCTAAGTCCTTTTTGGGTGTTTTAACTTTTAACCGAGTATATCATTCAACTAACTAGTTTTCCTATCATAATCATCAATCTAAACATTCAAGTCTCCAAAATTTCTCTCAAAACTCACCTAGGGTTAGGGTTAGGGCTGGGCATTCAGTTGGTTCGGTTCGATTTGCAAAATTTGGTTCAATTTTTTGGTTTGATGAAAATGCTAACTGAAACTGAACTGAAATATATTTGATTCAGTTCGGTTTTTACTATTTAGGTTCAGTTTGGTTTTTCGGTTTGAATATCATCCTTATGAGCCTTTCTTTGGTCATAAATTAAAATTTTAAATTGTATCAGTTTAAAAAAAAAACATTTTCAATGTGATTTTGAAGATTGGGGCTGTGGCGTCGAGCCATCAATTATCAGCAATGGAAAAAATCGACTGAACTCAAAATGTCATGATGCAGGAAGCTTGTGCATGGGTTGAGAGTTGGTGAATTTAGGCATTTATCTTTTGAGAAATTTGGTGGGCCTTTTCTTTTACTTTTTAATAGGCTGACATTTGGATTGGATTTATATAAAATTATAAATGTATTAAATAAAATTTGGTTTTTCGGTTAACCGAAAAAAAAATTCAAAATTGAAAATCGAACCGAATTATTGAATTTTTAAAATTAAAAACCAAAATTGATCGATCAAACCAAAAAATAAAAACCGAAATTAAAAAAAATCAATTCGATCGGTTTTTTCGGTTTGAACCAAATTATGCCCAACCCTACCTAGGGTTCCTCTTCTCTATAAAGAACACTTAAAACCTTCAAGTCAAATATTCAAGATACAAAGAGAAGTCTTTCCATCCAAGGTTTTCCCAAGTTCTTTCCACTTTAAGAACTTCATAAAAGAGTTTATTTTCTCAAGATCAAACGCTAAGATTCCAAGATCAAACGTTTCTTTCAAGAAAGCTAACGATCTTCCTCCAGCTCAAGAAAAGTCACGTCTCCACCAAAGTTTTCAGTCTAATAGCTTTATAATCACATATGTGAGGTTACTCATAGTGATAGACTAGCTCGTCCTCACGCCATACATCTCAGTTCGGTAACTGAAATGTTATGTTTAGAGTTCTATCCTCAGTTCTCTTGAAATATGAATTTAGTTATGTTTCTTATTCTGTGTTCCAATTCCTTAACCATTGAGATTTTGATTTCTATTATGCATATTAAATTCTAAATGGATGCCCATTCTTCGTACCACATGAACCCTATTTGTTTATAAAAATCATGTTTATAAAGATTATTATATGAAATTTCGTATACATTGATTTCAAACTTGAAAGATGAGTCCAGAACGGTCATTAATCAGTATATAACCCAACTAAATGAGTTGGGGTCGAATCCCACAAGGAGCGGTATGTATTTAAGATTCAATAGTAAAATGTGAACATGGTCAAATCAGTTATAGGAATAAACATTATCGAATAAAAACATAATTCAAATCAGGGGGTGACACGAATGTCAAATAAGGGGGGTTTGGTTTAAATTATCAATTGCAACAACAACAAATAATACGAAATATCAATAATGAGACGGGTTATTGGGATGTGATTTGATTATAGGCTAATGTAGACAAATGGGTAATTGCAACTATTAGAAAATAGCTAGATATTAGTGATTAAGCTAGACTATAGAGGAGGTAAACTTTCTCTTGAACAATTTACCCCGAATCAGGTCGATTTCTCTCGAACATCGACAAGCATGAAAAATGAGAACAACCTACGCCTTAGTCTATTCACTCTCGAGAGAGAGAGCTGAATGTGTGGAAAAGGGTTTAGGGTTCACTCTCTCAAGCTGAACCCATGACAACCCAATACCCACAAACCATCAATCAATAATCTTAGTTTTAAAACTTCTCTCTCGAGCAAGCCAAAAACACGAGGGTAGAACTGCATTTACAACTACAATTCTTTAATCCACAATTAATGATTGAAATCACTTCTAAACAGCATTTAAACTATAAATTAGCAATACCCGTAAACTAAATCAACCCATAATCACATAATCACACCCCAAGAATTGGGGTTTTAGCTAGACATCATAAAAAGATAAAAATATTTACCAAATTGAAGCTTCCTTTTCTTCACTCTTTCAGCTTGATTCGTTCCTTTTTGTAAATTAGTGTCCTTGCATTGTTTCTCAATCCATATACTTGGAAATCAAGGGTTTTACATCAGTTATTGGCACAAAACAAGCATTTGAGAACACTAAATCATTATGAGTAAACCCCCAAATGAATCTAAATCTCGGGCTCATCAACACCCCCAACTTAAACTTTTGTTTGTCCTTAAGTAAGGCAATTCTGTCACAATTGTTGTCAATTAAGTTGGGGACTAACAACTCAATTTGTATTCTTCTCCAAACAAGAGGATGAAGCTCACAAGATGGGAGAAAGATCCATGATTAAAGTAGATTGCATTTTTCTAGATAATCATGTTTTTGGAATGGGACATTTTTTTAGTGATATAGTGACTACATTTATGACTACAAAATTATAGGCACATTTTTTGTTAAAATAAAGTTGTCACTAATTACATTTGGGGACAAAATGTTTATTCGTACATAAAAGATGGTCTTTAGTGACAAAATTACTTTTGTTCATCTACGAAATATATATAACTTTAGAGACAATTGATGTCGTCACTAATTAAATGAAAATATTTAGTGACAAGGTAGTTTTGTCGCTATTAATGACCTTTTTGATGATGAAATACACTATCAACTACAATTTTTTTTTTACTTTTTTGACGAATAAGTTCGTCACAAATATTGTGCATTTTGGGACCAAAAAAATTTCGTAGATAATTTAACCTTATTTAGCGACGAAACACTAAATTGTCATTGTATATATTTAGTGACCCATCATTTAGAGACAAATGAGTGACAAATTTATTTTCGTCACAAAAGCTTTTTTGTGACGAAATATGATTCTTATGTGACAAAATATTTCGTCATTGAAAATCAAATTTGTTGTAGTGATTGGGTGGTTTGGGTTACTTGAAAGGTGTGTTGAATTATGTATATTGGGTTAAAGTCAATGAAAATAAGTAAGAGTTTCACAGGTGGTTCACTGAGTGGGTAAGGGCAAAGGGTCTGGTGTTGGCAAGGGTTATAGAAGAGGTGACAGACCAGTTAATATAGTTACTTGATGGATTCAAATTCATGAATGAAATTTAGTAGGATAATTCTAGTGTTCGTAGGAGGGGTAGGTATGAAAAGTTTTATGTGACAGTGGGGTTAAGTGATTACAAGATATGAGGGTGAAATTGACTCTTAATGGTGGAGTTTGTAGAGGAAACGAGGTAGGAATACTTATGATACAGTGTATGAGTTCGAAGGTCATATTACTTGGTAGTAATGGTTGTGGCTAAGGGATCGGGGTTGGGTAGTTCAAATTATATGTTTTCTTATAATTAATTACATGATATTATGTGGTGGATTCATGTCGATCGTGAATGTCTATCAGTACGTGTTGATGATACAGATACTGCTCTTGCTATACCACTTGGCATAGTCTAGTTACAGGATCAATGATGTATTTTTAAGTGAAGAAAACGGTGATTTTTGCCAGCTTCTAACCCTTTTTCGTTATGATGGGAGATGTGTCTTATTTTAAAGATATTTTATTTTCTTAGAAGCTCTTATACCTATTTAGACTAGTTCCTAGAGAGAGTTTCATGTATTTTTTTCAAAAACATTGTATTATTTATCAAGGATAATATTGGTTCTCTTAATTAAATAATAGATATTCTGAATGTTGTTTACTTCCATGATTTCAGTACTTAAATTGGTAAGGATTCTCCTATCTAACGGTTAGAGTAGGTGTCCACGCAACCCAGTGTTTGGGTCGTGACATAAATAATCTGCGGTCAACATTTATATTCTTGATGCGTTAATTGTTAGTGGTTAATATTGATAAGTCATTACAGTAATTGGAGATGAAAATAAGTTTTTGATTGTGGATTGAGTTAAGGAGAATGGGTATTAAAGTGGAGCATGCATTAAGTAATTAACATTGTGCAAAAGGATAACATAGAGGGACTCAGAATAGGATAAATGAATTTAGTCCTCTGTTTAGAAAATAAATGTGAATCATATATTTTAAAGGAATAAAAAAAAAGTATGCAATACAGAATGCCAGTTTTATACCATACCATACAATTATAGAAATGACAAAATTAAATAAAAAGTAGTGAAATAAGAGTTGTGAGGGTGAACCTAAGCCCTCTGCTTTTGATCAAGAATCATTTGTGGGGAGAGTCCCCATTTCTCTAATGTTTTATCGTCATGATGTAATGCTAGACTGTACTTGCCTTCATGTCCTAATTCCAAGATACGAATCTCACCATTTTTTGGACTTATTAGGCTTTCCACTTCTTCTGCAGTCCATTTAAATAATCTCATCAGTATAATTCGAATCGTAAGTCCATGACTGATTATAACGATATTCAGATTGTCATCGCTACCACTTTCACATATTTCCTCCATCTCTATATCCCTCCACAGCGATTCCATAAAACCTGTATTTCATAAGTTAACTAGATCAGATTAAGTTATAACAACAATATTTTTTATTTATTTTTTGTTTCCCACCCGGTGTCCGGAGTCCACAATGGAGCTCCGACTAAATTCGGATCGCGCTCTGCAGGACCCATTCGACAGTGGTGCTCCCAACAAGATTTTCTCCATACCCAGGACTCGAACACGAAACCTCGGGTTAAGCCCACAACCCATGTTGGTTATATAACACCAATATTGCAATCCCATAGTAAATGGTTTCTACTCAATCTTATTTGTTTTATTTTCAAGGTAATATTTGTGCATAAACTTTTATATTACAATATTCAATGTGATGTATTATATTTTTTTTTTAAAAATTGTTCTAAAAATAATAATACAATTTTTTTATATTTAAAAATAAATTTATTTTAATCTTTTTATTTTAAACTTATGAGATGATTCATATATTCACATAAATATCTATTATCTTTTTTTTTTGTCTGGTCATTCAGCAATTTTTTATATGTGAATACACAACTATTTTTAAATTGGCTTAGATCATATATCAATTTTTTAATGTCAAATCAAATAATCTATATTACTTTAAAAGCATGAAGTTTCTTAGAGATGTTGATTGAACTTTTTGACCTTCATTAAAGATTCTACAAATAAACAAAATTGTCATTTACCATTTTTCTCAAGTAATTGTCACTTAATTATTATCCTAATATTTAGGATTTCAAAATTAATTAAAGTTATTTTTATTAAATCTTTACTTATTTGCAAGAGTTAAGAACTCATAATATTTAGTACTATTTTAAAATTGACTAAAAATTTGCTTGTTAAATCACTACTTATTTAAAACATATTTAAGGCCTAACATTTAATACTTTAAACCAAAGACAACACACGTAATTGGATCGGAGTTCATATAAGGAAAATTTCAATTGAAAAAAATTACGTGTAAACTAAATAAACAAATTGTAGTTTATTTGAAATTCTTTGGTTATTCTCTGTAATATTCTAAATAATTTAAAATAGAGATATATTACCAACAGTTACATTATTGACAATCATAACTTTAAAATTTATATGCACATTAATTATTAAGAAATAGTAAAAGAGAGTGATAATGATAAGGGCAAAATTGACATTACATAGAATAGAAGGGGACAATGTCACTTGTTCGAGAAAAGGGTCAAATGCCCCCTCAAGCTTTAGCCATATTTCTAACTACACACTTAACCTTTGCGGGGGTCCTATTACCCCCCCAAATCTTTTTTTTTTTAATATTAGTTCACTCTCAGACGCTGATGTGTCCACATAAATCAGATTTATAAAAAATGTTTGTATACACGCGCTGTATTAGTGGACCTCATGAATTTACACGACTCACAAATTGACACGTGTCACAAAACTTTACCTTTACCTTTTATGAACCTAATTGACCCTCATTCTTCTTCCTAATCTAATCTCTACAATCTTCTTTCTAATCTAATCTCTAGTTCTTCTTCCTTTTCGCTACGATCTTCCATTACTGACGTTGCTCGGAAAGCTTACTTACTATTTATTTTGAGAAAAGGTTAGATCTTTACTTACTAACCCTAATAACACAAAGTGAGAAAAAAATCAAGCTGTCGAATTGGGGAAGATTTCGATTGTTCAATATGAAATTCGAGAAAATTGCAAACCCGAAATTCAATCTTAGTAGGAGAAGATACAACAACTAAATTCAAGCTTTGAAAATGGTGGATGAAGAACAAAGAAGATAGCTTTTATTCAAGAACAAAATAGATGGAGATAAATGAATTTGGGAAAAGAATAAAAAATAAATGTATGGTTAAATAAAGAGTAAAGTTACTGATGGGAGGCTTATTTGGACTCCACATGGACATTTTATTACGTTCTTACGCGCCTCACGGAGGTGAGTTCACGTATGTGGACACATCAGCGTCTGAGGGTGAACTAATATTAAAAAAAAAGGTTCATGGGGGTAATAGGACCCCGCAAAGGTTAAGTGTGTAATTGAAAATATGGCTAAAGATTGAGGGGCATTTGACCCTTTTCTCTCACTTGTTCCAAGTTGGAGGTGCTTAATTTTTAAAAACAAATTACAAGTCTGGGGGAGGCAGGGGTAAATAATGCACCCTTTTTAAATAAAAATAAGGTACTCCCTATCAACTTATATTATAATTTTTTAAGAGATAAGTATTGAAAACACTCCTAAATTTGAAATGAATTATTACTTTAGTCCTTCAAGTAGAGGAGTGTTTTTAAGACTGTCAATAGTTAGGGGACTAAAGTAATAATTTATGTCAAATTTAGGAATGTTTATAAAAAAAACATTTACATTGTATCATTTTTAACCCCAGAAGTTCAAAAGTTATACAACTATATTGATGTAATGACATATTTAAAATTATATGCTTCAAAAATAAAAAATTCCTACAGGTTGTGTCAATTCATACTGTGTAACATAAATGGAGGGTTAAATAGATAGCACATCCCTCATTATTACTTTATTTGATGGAGATCCAGTTAATATTGGAGAGTGAAATATTTTTTTTTCATATACACTTTAAATATATTGAATTATTAATTATTATTTTATTTACTATAATTTTTATATAATTTCTAAATATATAATCTTCTTAAGTTGGAAAATATATACTCAGAGTTTAATAAAATTTGGATAATTTAGTATTCATAATTCAAATTCATTCATATCACATAAAGTGAGAAAGAAGCAGAAGTTGTATGCGTTTGTTAAAATAAAAATAACGGGAACAATCCGCACAAATCATCGGATTTACTTGGCTAGAAAGTTAGTCAACTACATAAAAAGCAACTGAAATAAATTAATTGAATTGAAAGCTGGCGAAATTACAAATAAATACTCCTTCTGTCTCAATTTATGTGCCTTCCTTTCCTTTTTAGCAAGTCTAAAAAAGAATGACATATTTCTATATTAAGTAATAATTTAACTATAAAATATCTATTTATCCTTAGGGCTTGTTTGGAAGGACACCCTGGTAATTGAATTTGGTGTAATTACAATGTATGTCCTATTTGGTTGGACAATTAATTACTTGATCAACAGATAATTGATGTAATTGGCAGGGGATAATTACACTTTCCAATTCTTTGGCTGTTATTTATTGGTAATTACATGGTGTAATTATCAGCTATTACTTTTTAATTTTTTTATTTCTATTTTTTTTTGTTTTAATTTTTTACTTCTATTATTTTAAGTTCTTTTTTTTATTATTATTCTAAAAATTTCTAAAAGTTTGTTTTTTATTTTATATAATTATATTTCATTTTCTTCTCATTCTAAACCTTACTTCATGTGATTCTATGCAATTTTTTCATATTATCTATTTCTTTATGCTATGCTTATTTTCTCATTAGCATAATTCTATTAGTATTCTAATTTTTAAATTAAAATGGAATTTATTGTTAAGTAAGGTTATAGACTTATGTTTTCTTTTTAAAAAAAATAAAATCATATTTATGTATGCTATATTGAAATTTGCGATAAGAGTATTATGTTAAATTTTTTGTTTTGAATTTATAACTTATGTTATATTTTCAGTTTCATTTGTTTTAGTAATAGTGAATTCACATTGCAAGTTATTTTTTAATTAGACCTGATAGATTATCTTTTTGTCAAACATTTTATTTATATATTAATCTTTTTATCAAACATGCATTTCACAATGTTAGTAGATACTTCATACTTTTAGTTTTTATGATCAATTCAATTGAAATATATTAATTTGAAAAAATATAAATCAATTAATTTTTCATAATATTAGTTAAGAACGTATGCTTATTAATTAATATATTTTCAAAAAAATAATATATATCTTAAATATTTAATTTAATATCATTTATATAGTTTCTTATTTGTCTAGTATAAATTTTAAATAATTAATTTATATTTTTAAAATTTAATATAATATTATAATTGCAATTGTGCATCCAAACAAAACATGTGTAATTTCACTGTGACATCCAAACAAGACATGGGTAATTACATTGTGGCAACCAAACATGTCGGTGTAATTACTAGGCTGATAATTACTGCCCTAGTAATTATAGCAATTCCAATTACCAGGTGACTTTCCAAACAAACCCATAATGAAATGATTTACAATCACACAAATTTATATCATTAATTTTGGACCATAAATTTTAAAGTCTCCCTTTCTTTTTTAAGTTTCGTGTTGAATCAAACTATCTCACATAAAATAGGACAGATTGAGTGAAGTATGTATTAGAAAAAGTGATGAGTTGAATAAAAAGTTACCTGAAACCCGATCGTAGACATCGGCGGCGGATTCTCCATGGGGAAAGCGGTAGAAGAACTTACCATATCTCTCTCGTTCCTTCTTATACTCCTCCATCTTCTCTGTATTCTGAAATTTAGCATAGTCCATTTCTCTTAACCTGCATTCTTCTCTTACCCCAATGATTTCGTTGCTAGAAAACGATTCACTTATCTCTTTCAATGTCTCACGAGTGCGCAAGAATGGAGATACATAAAAATAAACTTTGCAGTTTCCAACCACGCTTCGGATAACCTCTCCAGCATTTTTGGCTTGCTCTTTGCCTTTCTCTGTAAGTTGCACTTTATGGTCAGGTACGGCGGTGTACACATTTTTGTCTTCGTTACCTTCACTTTCACCATGGCGCACCAGTATGATCCTCTTCGGCCATCGCCTCTCTTTACTTCTGTTATTGCTATTGTTGTTTCCCATTTGTCTTGCTCAAACTTCAACCTCCATTCATCTATTTATTATACATGTTGTATCGATGTGATTGCCGATCGGCATGCGTAGGTTAATTGTATTTTATTCTCTAAACCTAATGATGATGACCAACATATATACGTGCTCTATCATTACAATTTTGGTTTATTGAAACGAAAAACACATGGCTTAGGCATAAATAATTAATTAGCGACCATTATAGCTGTAGCATGTTGTGTTTTTTGTTATTCAAAGGAACAACAGTTGACCGTGCCATAATAAATAATGGACCTGCCGAAAACATGGAAACTTATATTAATATTGGTCATACCTACCCGCTCTCATATTATATATCATATATCATAGATTCATAATACATAAACATCTCATACGACTGTGTTCTCTAATTTTGAATGTGTATAAATGGACACGTAAATTTATATAAAATTAAATAAGTAAATTAACAGAGGCGTATTTAGAGGGGGTTACGTGGATCCACGTGAACTCATGCTCCCCTCTCTAGATCATACATAGTAGTGCTATATTTTTCAAAAAATATTTAAATATAGAAATGTGAACCCACATTAAAACTAGCATATAATAATATGGTGTTGATTGGGGAGGTGCACCTCTCTAAGCAAAGATAGAAATATAAATCTTATATACCTATCTTATTTTTTTTAGTAACACTCCTCCAAGTGGTTATCGGTAACACTTTTGGCGTTTCAATTAATTTTTCTTTTGTTTTATTGCTTTAATTTTTCAAAACTTTCAAGTGTGTTACATGGAAATTCCTAAAAAAAATATAGCACTGTAAAATTTTTTATTAATTAAATCAAATGTGTATATTTAAATTTTAAACTATTAGTATTAAATATGTTAGACCTATAATTTTTAAAATTTAACGGTTCAGTGTTAAGAACGTAAAGGTTAAATCGATCAAATTTATATCCTAGATGCATCTTTTCGTAATAGTGCACTCATCCTTTCGAAATCCTGGATACACTTCTGGCTGTAAACAAATGTATCATTTGTTCCATTACACACATGGAACACTATGTAGGATGTGAATTACCACATAAGGCATTACGTAGAACACATGTGTCTACTTATTTAACTCTATACAAATTTAAATGTATGTGTGTGCACACTCAGAATTGAAGGACATATATATCAAATGAGGACAATCTAAATGACACATTTATGTATTATATTAAGCAAATCTCGCTTGTACAAGCCTATTTATGTTTTTTTTTCCTGTAGGTAATAATTGGGAAGAGATGGTAAGTTAGCCCCTCATTGGTAAAAGTGGTTTTAATCCCTTGGTTTAGAACTTGAATTACGTCATTAAACTTTGTGAAATGGTCCAACTTTGCTGGTCAATAATTGAGATGAAATATACCCCTACCTTAAAATATGATTCAATATTTCCTTATTTACTGATCGTACTAAAAAATGAAATTAGCTACCTAGCCCATTGCTATTTCGCTCGTAGATAACATAAATTTATCGCTCATTCATCGTTCAATAGGATTAGTGACGAATTTTCTTGTTTAGCTATAAAATTTGCATGTCACTTAATCTTGTTTTTAGGTAGTACTAGTTTTACGCACGTGCGTTGCACGTGAATATGAAACCGTGCACTACACTATTTTTAAAAATAAAGTGAATATTATTTAATAAAAATATTAACTAAACAATTATAAAATGAATGATAAAGTATAAGTTCCTATGAATAGTGGATGTAAATTTTCTTATGATTACTAATGAAAGATAGTCACTCTTAAAATCTCTTAGTTACACCTCTTAAATATATTTTCTCCTCCCTCTCCCATAGTGCATTACTTAGTTATTATTATATAGTTGGAGTTCTTATTTTTAATATAATATAATATAAATAAATATTGAGTGTTCATCGAGTGTCGTCTATTTCGCCAAAAACTTTGTTCTTTCAGGGTACGTAAGGCTATTCATAGTGTTTGACTAGTTCGTCATCACACCCTACATCTCAATTCAGCCAGTACCAAGTTGAGTCTATGGTTTTTCCCTCACTTTTATGTGATTCCGATACTATGAGATTGCGATACTTTATGCATTGAAATTCTTGAATTATTGTTCATGTTTGTAGTTCCATATGAACTCTCTCTCTCTCTCTCTCTCACACACACACTCACTATATATATATATAGAGTTTTACTAAAAGTATTTTAAGCGAGTAATTTTCCTTACATTGATTTTGGAAACCAAATTTAGTTAAAGAGAAAAGTTTAAAAGCATGATTTTGTTAAGGGAACTTAAAGGGTTACAAATGTATCATTTTTATATTGAAAAATATCACTCTTTTCATAAAAGTATAAAAGTTTTCAGTTTTTATATATCGATCTTTGGCATGAGAGATAAGTCCATAAGTATACATTTTAAACGCAAGTTTTGAACAAAGTTTTTAAAGGAAGAATCAAATGGTTTTATATATACTATTTGATGGTTGAGAAAAATAAAGAGTATGATTGATGTTTTTGAAAAGTACTTCACTAAAGTAATATTCCCTTTCTTTGTAAAGGGTAATTGAGCAAAGTGATAAGTAAAGGAAAGTAATAGTCTCTTTCTTTGTAAAGGGTGAATTGAGCATAACTAATATTGATTATTTTGGGAGTAGTATCAATCACCGAATTCAGTAAGAATCTAGTGTAACTCAAAAGTCTCACAAAAATATGTAGCCGGTGTAGGATAGGATAGCACTGATTCTTCATGCGGCTCATCACTGCCTCTTAGAAGGCCTTTTAGATGGATCAATAGTTATAGTTCATCCTATACCCCGACAAGGTATAAAATGACCCTTGTAACGTGGGTGAAACGTTGTATCATTGCTAGGCTCATAGTAATGGTTGTCGGTAAGAGAAAATCCCCACAAAGTATAGTATATGATTTTCATATTGCTTTTATTGCACATCTTATTGTAAAGCTTAAATGGTGTTTACTTCATGTTCATGTATTAATTAAGTTGAATTGTTTTTGGTCCTTCAGTTCAGTTATTTGTTTAGTCATCCATATCACATACTCGTACATTCAATGTACTGATGTCGTTCCACATGCATCTTATTATAATTTAGACGATACAACTATTTAGGATCATCAATAGACATTTCCTTGAGATCAGTTTGCACTTCTGATAGCTTGGGTGAGCCTCCTTGCATTCTGGGGGACTTCAAATTTATTTTGTAGTCAGTTGCCTTGAGATGTCATGGGTCTTGTCCCGAGATCCATCTACAATAATAAAGGTTTCATAGATAAATAAAGTTGAGGAGTCTTTCCGTATTTACTCTTCCTTGAGATGTTTGTGCAAACTACTCTACTTTTTTTATTGAGTATTTTACATACAGTTTGAGTTGAGTTTTTTTTGAGTTTAAATGTTCAAAAATTTTGTTTTTAAGCCTTTTATTGCTTGAGTAAGTCTTAGTCAGGCCAAGGGTTTTCTTGGGGACTAGTAATGGTTCTAGAGTGCTGGCCACATCCAAGGTGTAGGCTCGAGGAGTGACACAAGGATTGAAGTTTGAGAGAATGACCGAGAATGCAAAAAAAGCGCAAACATACATTGTTGATCGCCTAACAAGAAGGGTGAATTGCCAATTGAGCACGACCTCGCCTAAAATGACAGTGCATAGTACTTGTGTCTATCAAATCAGGTCGGCGGACACCAGTGGAGAAAGAGATGTGCCGAATGAGAAAGGTGGAATTGATGAACATCGCTCAAAATGACAGTGTGAAAATAAAAAAATTGAATGCTTGAAAGGCGAAACAAGGTGGTACTCAGTGAATTGCAAAATGTGAAATGCTGACACAATCGAGTTCACCAACTAAGGTTAAAAACACCTGAAGCCCAGAGCATCAAAGGAGAGTTGAGGAGTAAGAGGCGATATACCAAATGAGTTCGGTGAGCCCGACTAATGTCGCCGATTGAGTCACCTATTGGAAATTTGGGCCTAATTTTGGGAAATTATAAATAGCCTAAAGGAGAGAGAAATTAAATATAAGATGACATAGAATATAGAATATCATATCAAAGTGTGTGAAGGGTTTAGAGAGAGAACACTTTATCTTTGAAGAATACTTTTTTTGCTTTGGGATTTTTATAACTTTGTGCTTGAAATTGACAAATTGAAGTTGAATCCAAAGAGAGTTTAATTGTAGTTGCTTAATTCTATGTTACCCATGGCTTCTTTAATGGAAGGTATAATCTCTTTACTTTTTGTGATGGGTGACTAAAACCCCAAGATCTAGGGGTGAAATTATGGGGTTGGGTGTTGATTTAATGTAGTGTGTATTGTGCTATGCTCTATTTTTCTACTGTTCATGCATGAATTTGGTCTAATTAGCATGATATTTATTTATGGCTTAAGTTTTCAAACTTAGTTTCTACTTCCGGTCTCCGATTGATGCTCAAAAGAGGTTGATTGGAGTGAGTAATTAGAATGATACTAGCAATTTTGGTTTGATGTCTCTAACTTGCATGAAAATAGAGGTTATGGGTCGGATCTATTTGCCTTGTTCTTGAAAGAGAGAATATAGTAAGGTATTGAGTTGTTTAGGTTGGCATGTAGATGTGACCAAAAAGAGATTCTATGCATAGATGCTTTGAGATCGAAAGATCTTTAGTTTTAACGAAGATGACTTAGCCTAGTCATGAATGTTCATTACTATAGAGCAACACAATTACCCCTATGTGACACTGATATTCAATTTCCCCACCCCTAGATTGCTTATTAACTTTTGAATTATTTGATATTTTAGTTTAATTTTGAAAATTGACAACCAAAGCTTTATATTAAATAGGTGGAAGTATCTACCCATTTGTTCTTACCATTGCAAAAGAGTGATCTTAAAATCCAAATTTCTTGATAGGGATTATTTACGATTTATCATTCTCTGTGTGATTCAACCCCGACTCTTCGTTGGATTTTTTATTGACTACGACCGTTGTCCCTTTTAATTAGTTTTAAGGACTTTTGAACT